ACAGCAGATATTCGGGAGTTTGGAATATGGGAGGTACCAGAGTTCCGCGCGCGCGCAAAACGAAGGATCGAAACAGTTTTTTTAAGATGCACAACACTCACTCACCTTCGTCTAGACCCGCCTTTTTCGCATCCATTGGGGAAGAATTACGAGTATCGGTATGATTAGTTAGACTGGTCGAAACGGTCGAAGTAACAGCCGCAGACATAATAGCGAAGAAAGGAGGAGGGGGGAGATATTTTGGTTGGTGTCGATATATTAGATCGAGGGAGGTCGACAGGTGACCCCGGGGATGTAAGGGAAAAAAATAGCCAAGCGAGCGGACGGAGGTGGCGAGGACACGAAGAAGAATAAGGACGGGGACGGACGCTGAACAAGAAAAAAACAACTGGAGGGGTACGGGAAAGGGAAGTTAAAAAGAGACAAAGCTGGTTGATTGAAGTTAGTAAAATGCGATAAGTTGTTGATGCTTCGGAGAGCTGGAGATACTGCAGCGCAAACGCCTGTACCCAGAGGTCACTGAGCGAGTACACGGCAGTTTAGACAGAAGTAGATCGTGTTGGAGAGGAAGGGGAAGGGAAAGGAAAAAGTTGTGACGTAGTCCGGGCTTCGACAGGGAGATTATTTAGGGGGGAAAAGAAAGAGGGGAGGCGGTCGAGTGGCCGTCGGGCCACGCTATGCCTATTTGGTCTCGACTGTCTGTCACGCCGAAACCATGCAACCCTGAGAGTACAAAAAGCCCGCGGGTTACCAACCAGCCAGAGTGCAACCTCGAAACCACTAACATGGAATTTTTTTTTTCGAAAAAAGATTTTTTGCTTTTCTTTTTCTTTACTTTTCTTTTGATTTTGTTTTTTTCCCCCTTCTTTTTTTTCTCTTTTGAGGTTCTTTTCACTCTTCTTCTTCCTTAATTCTTATCTTGGTTCTGGTTCTGTATTCGGAACCGATCTTGTTCTTGCTGCTCTTTCCTGTTTTGAATTGTAATTTTCTTTTCTCTTCCGTATTTTTTTCTTTTTGCTTCATCCACCCTATGATTTTTGATTTCAAAGCAGGAATATTGAAACTCCGCAACAGAATTTCGCCCAAAAAAAAAATAAATGAAATGAACAAAGGGTAGGCGAGGTGAGAAAAAAAAAGCACCGAAAACTAAAAACAGCAAATCAAAAAGAACACCTTACCCTATAGTAAATGACCAGGCACTGTATGATTATGCAGGCGAAATGCTGGCTGGCCCTTACTTGCAAAAACGAAACTTGGAGACGGAGTGGATTCCCGGCAGCACTTGTCAGCCAATCCAAGCAAAGAATAATCCGGGTGGACGCGATTGTTGGATGACGGCGGAAACGATAGGCAAATTCAACCTAATAAGAAAGTGGTAGTAGATAGTATGACACATTTCCGGGTCCCGAGGGAAGAAAATTGCAAAGGTATAAGAATGTTGGTCGCTATCCAGGGATGTGTGGAAAATACACGAAGAGGTTGCCCAAAAGTTTAAAGCTTTGGATTCGAAGCACTTGTAACCACAAACTGGTCAACAAAATGTATTGGGGGGCAGAAGAGGGAAAGTTGGTTAAGGGCGAAAGAGTTAGGAAGGGGTAAAGAAAACCATGAATGAGATCACGGTGACGACGACAGGAATTTTCCTGGGCTTGTCGGACAGTCGGACCAGCCGGCAGTGGCCACTCGCGCACCTTTCCAGAGGACCACTAATGTACCAGCGCATCCACTTGGTCCAGCCACTCACGGGCCCGTTTCCGAGCCCCCGCCCTGCAGAGTCTCAATCTCGAGCGGGTGAACGAATCATGGAGACGACGCCATGTTTGTCCGGCCGCAGGGCGGTGAGGGATCTTCGTCTGTTCGAATGGTCGATGCCACTTCCATGCCATCGATACTCTCCCTGAATGGCCCATGGAGCAACGCCCAAATCTGGAGATACATAGATTTCGGGTCCAACAAGGAAATCCTTCCAATCCTCGGCTCTCTTATCGCCGTTGCCCGGATTCTGGGTTCATTCTTTCTCATTTCAGGGGGGAAGTGTTGTTCCAATCAGTCTCGCTCGGGACATCGAGTGACACGTCCGCTTGCTGATTGGGCCCCTGCTGATGACGCAATGCTTCTAGGGCCTTCGTCCCGTGGGTATTCATCACGTGAGAGTGTCTCGCGCGGTCTCGTTGGGGCCCAAAACAAGGATGAAGGAATCTAGTGGATTGCCACTTGGATTCTGGACAATCTATTCCATTGCTCCCCGTGTATGGTACAGGCTACACGGTTGAATGGTGGACCGGACAAGAAGGTTCGGAGTAGAGTATACGGCCCCCCCTCCACAATATTAGGCTTGAGAAGGCCGCTACAAACTGTCAGTTCGCGTCTCGATTAGGCCTTGGCAGTGGTACTGCGTTCCTCAGACAGTACATGATAGTGCTACAGGTCAATATGTTCGTTACCAGTCCTATCGAAACCAGTCCTGTATAAACATACTATCAATATCGACATTGAAAGGAGTACAGTATTCACTGTAGCTCCGGTGATAGTATAATTTCTTTTTATGCTTTGCATCATTGCCAAAGTCTCCTGCACATGAGTATGCACATGTACCTTCGAAGAATCACTCACTTACCGTATGTGATGTACCCGGTACTTCACAACCTTTCAAGTGCATGAAAAAAAAAAATGGTCCCCCTGTCGTTCAACGGTACTTTTTGATAAGGGAGTATTTAGGCCCAACGGCTTCAATACTAGTGAAAGTATCTACAGCTGCGGTGCGCTTCCATCTCAGCTGCATGATCAAAAAGGTATAGGCCCAAGTTGTATGGGACATATCATGATTAATTGCGTTAGCCGAAGTGACAGCAAATTGATCCCTCCCCCTCCTCCTTCTTTCCCACCCCTCAGCATAGCAAAATGTGTTGGCTTGTCCGGGGTTTGTCTGTCGCTCTTCACGCTAGTCGATACACCTAACACACAAGTACTGTTTCCACCCATAATTTAGCCTTTTTTTGCCCATGCAGCCACCGAAATCAGCGGTTGCCCATGCAAGCCTTTCCGAGAAGTTGGTCGGAAAGTCTAGATCGCGGACTGTTGGTGTAGGTAGTTATTGCTATGGTTATGGTTATTTCGAAGGACATGATAACTGTGCGTGTTTCTTGGCAATCAGAGTCGATTGAATTTGATCCATTGCCTGTCATCGCTCGCACAGACGTGGAAAAGGAAGAAGGTAGAATTGCGCCATATTTCTCATCTTCGGCGTTGATTAACAGTTAGTGAGTTTGTAGGGGGGGTAGTAATTAACACCCCCTATTAAGTTTGCGACCCCATTATCAATGGCATGTCACAAAACTATTGAGCCGTGCATGCAATGGTTTCAGCTTTTTTCTCCAGATACGTCATAAGTATGGGGATGCATGGGGCGCTCTCCACGATAAAATAACTTAAGTAACTTAATAATAATAGGTATTCGGCAGCGATAAGATTAAGATCCCATCCCTATCCTATTCTGTCCTATCCGTACACAATCGCCTCCTGCCCTCAATTCTAGGTATCCCTTCGTCATGAGCCGCGATAAGTCGAATAGTTCCAGGGTCCCAACAGCACGGGAACGTGATAATGCCGCCATCCTTCTTCTCCCTCCCGGCCCCGTCCCTTGACCGTAAACTTCACCTCGACCTCGGGCCAGAAACTCTCAACACCTTGTGCCTCGTACCATGGACCAACCTCAAACCGAACAGACCAATTTGTCTTGCTATCGGCAGTTGGGAGTGCAGAAAGGATAGCGGGGACCGACGAAGCGGACGATGAAGTTGTGGTGGGTTCCCAGTTTTTGACTCGTCCGTCTGCGTCGGTCGTCGCGCGGAAGGTGATGGGACTCTGGCTGCTGCTCGAGGGCGCAGATAGGAGGGTCAGTGTCACTGGGAGGTTCGCCGCGGGAGTACCCGTCAGGGTGTTCAGGACGTGACAGGTTATGGGGTCGCGAGACATTGCGGTGGTATTTTGGGGGAGGGTCGATGCTGCGTTGTAGTTGTTGAAGGGTTGTGCTGTAGAGTGGATCGGGGATTGGAGGAGTTGGTTGCGGTAGAGACTAAGACGGTCTGTGACTTTATCCAGTTGACCACTTGACGGCTTGATTTCCGAGCTAGGGTCCATCAAGAGAGAGTAAGTAGGTTATAGGTAATTATTTCAGATATTGAGAGAAAAGTAGAAATTGTCTCGAGAGTGTTCAGCGCGCGAGGGGCTTTTTCTATCTCCGCTTCTCATGCATCGGAGAGCACCGACAGAGCTACCCTGAGATGCCGGAGTATACCATCGGTGGGGTAACTCGGGGGTGGTCCCAAAAGCCCGTAACACTACAACAGCTCCAATCTGTTTAGTGCCCCTGGATTGAACTTAGAGTTCCAAACCCACTAGCTGATCAATTTTGATATGAGGATGTGTGTGCGTGCAACCCCGGCTTGGGATGCTACGATACCAAGTAGTAGTAACGATTGGGGTTCATGGTGCCCGTCGATCTGACTAACCTAGACTTCTGTAACGCAAGACCCGGCTTTTATCATGCGGGAACAAGCCAGAATCTTTCAAGTGGAGATGTCCGCTTATTCTTCCTTGTAAATGTCAGGTTGCTGCAATGGTGTAGTGTCATAGAATCTTGTACTGCTTTTCAATACCTCTGCCTCTAACCGCAGACAGAAGCTAGCTGGAAATGACAATTAGCTGTTTATCTGAGCTCGATTGGTATGAATGGGTTGCTGGTCGCAAAACGAATAGCTTCAGAATTGAGTCCGTGAATAAGCGACGAAGAGCCGCCGGCTCGATTAGATTTACATAGATAAGTGGTCAAGATTATCTCAGAGAAATGAGGCATTATGTCACTTTATTGACGGGTGGGGTCGCCTCAGGCAGAGAAATGATGGCATCCGCACGTGCGTGTTGCACCGGCTCGAATGGAAACGCTTTTCTTTGGCGCTGCACATGATTCACTAGAGTGATTGTACCTGAATCTTCAGCACCTTCCTACCGCGCTCATCTGGACCTGAATAGGCCTGTTTCACGCCAGTGCTCGGGTGACTCTATCTTACCGAGAACGTTCTCGAACTTGTCTAACCGCCACTACTGAAAGTTTTGGGCCTCTGCGGGGAACCGATACGTGGTAAGTCCAAGCTTCAATATCGCGACACTGCCTCTTTAACAAGGAAGCTCACTCAATCGGACCCTCCTCAGACATCGAATCGATTCCGATAATAATCTCAACGTGATTTCAACATGTCATCCGCCGTTGTGCACAGCGACGACCTCATGGAGCCCACGCTCCAGTCGGTGGTGAACCAGAAGACCTTGCGCTGGATCTTTGTCGGCGGTAAAGGAGGTGTCGGCAAGACTACGACTTCCTGCTCTCTTGCAATTCAGCTTGCCAAAGTTCGCAAGTCTGTCCTCCTCATCTCCACCGACCCCGCGCACAACCTTAGCGATGCCTTCGGTCAGAAGTTCGGAAAGGAGGCCCGGCTGGTCGATGGATACTCGAACCTGAGCGCTATGGAGATCGACCCTAACGGCAGTATTCAAGATCTCCTGGCTAGTGGTGAAGGCCAGGGCGACGACCCTCTGTCTGGTATGGGTGTTGGTGGAATGATGCAGGATCTTGCGTTCAGTGTACGTCACACACAAGTGCTGACCAGCAAAATAAAATTGCTCTCGTGGAAGATGGCTAATAGTAGCAGATCCCCGGTGTTGATGAAGCTATGTCTTTTGCCGAAGTCCTGAAGCAGGTCAAGTCGCTGTCCTACGAAGTTATTGTCTTTGACACTGCGCCGACCGGTCACACCCTCCGCTTCCTCCAATTCCCCACTGTCCTAGAGAAGGCTCTCGCCAAGCTGTCGCAGCTGTCGTCTCAGTTCGGCCCCATGCTGAACTCGATCCTTGGTTCTCGTGGTGGTCTGCCCGGCGGTCAAAACATCGATGAATTGTTGCAGAAGATGGAGTCGCTGAGGGAGACCATCAGCGAGGTCAACTCGCAGTTCAAGGACGCTGATCTGACTACCTTCGTCTGTGTTTGCATTGCGGAATTCTTGTCCCTCTACGAAACCGAGCGCATGATCCAGGAGCTCACAAGCTACAACATCGACACCCATGCCATTGTCGTCAACCAGCTCCTGTTCCCCAAGCAAAGCAGCGAGTGCGAACAATGTAATGCACGAAGGAAGATGCAGAAGAAGTACTTGGAGCAGATTGAAGAGTTGTATGAAGACTTCAACGTGGTCAGGATGCCATTGCTGGTTGAAGAAGTCAGAGGCAAGGAGAAGCTTGAGAAGTAAGTCAACCACTAAATATCCGGTTGTGAGAAGCGTCAGGATGGCTAACCAGCCCACAGATTCAGCGACATGCTTGTGAACCCGTATGTACCCCCGGAGGGCAACTGAGGCGGATTAGCGGAGAGTTTTCAATCTAAGATTTGCTGCGAACGTTGTTTATTTGGACGAGTCATGAAAAGAGTATAGACTATAATATACGAAGCGTGAAGATGCAAGCGTGAAGATGCATTCATTGGAAAATTGTGAATCTAGCCATCCTGAACCGTGTTCAATGAGTTTGAATAGCTCAATGCTCCCCTTCTGTGCCTTCCTCTCCATCAAACCCGACTTTCCTTTTCTAACTCTCCGAACGCCTCACTGTCGCCTTGTCGAGGTTCCCACTAGCTACCTCTGCAGATCTTCAGGGATGAGATTGTGACCAGGACTAGATCACTTGTGGGTCTTCCGCCTCAGGGCAGGGACTTTGTCAAGCAATCACCTTCTTCCTGTCCACTTGCCAGCTTGATTCCTCGATCCTCAGCCGCCTTATTTCTTTCTCCTGCCCCGCTGTAGCCCCAAGATCGCAGCTTCTGCTTCGGTCACAATCCGCTTTTAAGAAACCTGGGAGTAAGTTAATGAGTTTATTTCCTGATGTTTTCATCATCGTTCCTTGATTCAGGAAGTTCTAACTCTTCTCTTCAGCCTCACCTTCAGCCCCTTGCCGAATAAAACCTGCAGTCACTATAAGAAGGCAAATAAAAGCAACGATCTGAGGCAGGGATGAAGCTGCCCAGTTCGTGGGTATTGCGATGCCATTGGAGAATACAGGGCCTTCCCTGTCCACAGGCAAACGATGGGAGAGGTAGGCATCTGCGCTTTCAATATCTAAAGCTTGGTGAGTGAGGTGAAGCCTCACCTCCAGCTGACTATTCAGTTGAAGACCAATCGGTTTGCCATGTCGCATTCGCTTTCTCTATATCCGGGCCCACAACTATCGATGGCTAGGCCGGGTCCAGCCTCATACGATTCTGTGAGCCATACCAGGTGTACTGTGTCTGCAACATCCTGGCTGTCACAAGTCACAACAGTGGCAGTCACTTTCCGGCGCTTGCAAAGCTTGATGAGTGACTGAAAAAGAGCAAGCCGAAGCCCTGTCTAGGAGGACATGGCCTAGCTGGACCGGCTCATGCAAGCGTGGCTAACTACCAAATCAGATTCGCCCAAGCCCTAAAGCAGGTGGTCCTTAGCTAAGGCTAAAGGCTACAGATATCGCCGCGAAGATTGGCTATACAGGAAGGGGACAATGGGCCTCCAGGTCCAGTTCCCTGTAGGATCGTGCCACTGCCCATTCTGTCTTCATCGATCGTCAAGCTTAGCTCGGCCCAGCAAGGACAGCATCGACGGTCTGAGACTAACTTCAAGGCATAAAATTCTGTGCTACGATATTTCGTGGGTACAGGCTACATGGTCAACCCTGCCACGACGCTTGGATGTTCCCCTTCAGATGATGCATCTCTAGTCTAGACCTCGGAATCTGCGACATTAGGTGACAACTATGCTGTATCCACCGATATACAGATAGCACCGACTACAGCCCCGATAAACTTTGCAGAGGGATTACAGGTCAAATTAAGGACCCCGGAAATAAAAACAAGAAGTAATCGGGCCGAACACTATGACTCAAACTGCCGCTGAGAGCCGCGGGCACAAACAGTCCGGTCGGCTAAGTGGGATACAGTATGGCATGGCCTCATAGATCTGCGAACAACCCGGTCTGTATAAATGGCTCCAGGCTCATGCAGGTGTCACCGGCTATGAGGACGTCTGGACTCGAGACGCAAGAAATTCCGAAATGTACGAAACCATTTTGGGGCTGCAAGATCTAGGGGAGTCGCCAATAAACTTCGAGCAAGCATACTAGCTGCATCCGAAACGCTCGGTCCATGGAGCCACGGCATCACACATACAGACTCTACTACATACCTACATCGCCGACCACTTCAGTAGTGCATGTTCACCGCAGGAATAGCCAAGCTGTGAAAATACAGAGGCACGCGAGAAGGTGGGCGCAATATCCTTCGATTTGCGGAAATTGTCAGTCTTCCCTTGGAGGGGTGTCCAAGCCTCACTTTTACCGCCGCAAAGGGGTTGGATGAAAGAGTGAGGCGAGTTTTCCCCGGAATCGGACGTGAGCAGCAGGCCTTGCAGCCGTTCCATTTTGCTCGCAAAAGAGTCTATGTAAAAAGCCACATTCGCAAAGGCGCAGTCTTGACTGGAAGAAAATTCGCTGGGCCGATGACGGGCGTGCTGATCAGCATTCTAAGTGATGGAGCCCACTATGTACAGTCACATTGCCCTAGGGCATTCCGACACCTTTCGAGAGACACATCCACCATCGAACCCACCGAGGCGTGACGAATGAATCTTATGTCCGTTTGTTATCTTCTTCTTCTTCCTTTTTCCTTGCATGACCAGAAACCCGAAGCTAGCTATATATACGGGGTCCCTAGAAGAGAGTTCCAGTCCCAATCGAATGGTCGTCATGATCAAAAGTAGTCCACTCCATTCAGTTCAAAATCTAGTATACAACACAAACACAACACTACATCACTCACACTCACTGCTTCCCTCACACTACCTACTCCCCTATACTTCAACTGAATTTACTACAACCTCACGGAGATGTCTCAAGTCCAACAATACTGGCTCCCAGGATACGGACTGTCCCGTCATATAGTCTTAGGCCACATACAATACTTTCTAGGGCCATCAGCCAGCGTCAGGCCATATTCATACCAGGTAGAGACAATAATACCACAGCCACATACACAAATCACCTAGAACCAAAGTCTCTCTCTCTAACACATAAACCGAACTCTCCAGGGACGCGACGGCTACCTAATAGTCGGTGTACCACTTACAAGAGTGCGTCCCTAACTAACTCGCCCTACTCCTCATTGCCTTCCCTCCCTCCCCCACACTAAACTAACATGAATCAATAGGAACAAATCGACGACCTAGCAACCATGTCCCGAGAATACGAACGTCAAGAATCCCTCCGAATGGCAGGTGACTCAGCCAGCCCCGCCGCCGCCGCCGCCACTTTCGGCAGACATGAACCCTATATCAATGAGATTGTACCCGTCAGGAGTTCGGGGAGGAGAAGCAGGGCACCACCACCACCGCTGTCATCATCATCATCATCGTCGCATATGATGGATTATGAACCGAGACGGAGTCGATGAAGTGGGTTGGAATATGAGAAAGGAAAAGGGAAGGGGAAGGGGAAGGGGAAGGGTAGAGAGGAGGGATGGGCTGTCATGGTCGTTCTTGGTCTTCTGGGTAGCGAGGATATTTGTGGTTTGGTTATATGCTGGTATGTAGTTGTTTCAGTTCTACAGATACCTTTTGTTACTACTATATAGGATTGGGTAATTGTTTGGGGTTCCGAGGAAGAGAATAGGGTTTGAGGACCGCGGTTACGATACACCATAATGCAGCCGGTCTCGTTGAGTTAATGATAATTGAATTCCATCATCTCTATAGATCATTCGTAACAGCATAGCTCGATCACACGTAACCGAGCGACGGCGCCTTATTCGGACGAGAAAGCACACCCCCAATAAGACAGAAGTGTGCAAAGGACTGCTCTCACTTTTAGGAAAACTCCCCCGGTCCTGCTTCTTCTCTTCCTTCCTTCCTTTTTTCATCCTCTGGTCGACCCAAAAATAAAAGTCCAGATATAGTTGGATAAAATTTTTGACGGTACTTCGTTCTTCTTTTTAGGGAGTCATCACACACACCAAAATCCCGAAGGGTGTCAAACATCATAAAGAGATACACAGGGGGGAAATAAACGATATAGTGGGTGGAAAGTGGGACACGAAACGTAAATAGAAAAGGGAAAATAAGATAGAGAGATAAAAAAGAGAAAAAGGAATAGTGGACCACCTGAACGCCAGCCTGATGCCACTCTGCTTGGTCCCATCATTTCAGGAAGTCCGCACTGCGGCGGAAGATACTACTAACATGAACAGAACCATGAAGAGAACGGTAAAAGGACGAAAGTTTCTTGTTTCGGTATAATTTCAAGAAGTGGGGGGTGTCATTTATTTCGCAACGGCAGCACTATATGATTATCCTGGCGTTAGTGACAAGCAATAGAGATGGGTCGATTTGACAGGGTATTGGACGAACCTCAGAACTTGCGTGCGGAAGAAAGCACCCTTGGTCTTCTCAATGACCTGCTGGTACACCGACTGCGGGGGGTGGTTCATGATCACAGTGCCCTCCTTGTAGTCGATCTTGGCGTCGACACGAGTGTCGCGGATCAGGTTGACGATCCACTTCTCACCCTCATCCTGGTTCAGACCCAGACGGGTAGACAGGTCCCTGGAGATATCGGTTAGCACGGTTATGCTCTGAATGTATGTCCTTCGTGTTGGGTAACATACTTGATGTCGATCCGCTGGTGGATCTTGCAGTAGCTCTCGGAGATCAGGTGACGGGCAGCCTCAACGAAGGCATCGGCAGCCGAGACGAGGAAGAAGTCGCTCCGCAACACATCCTCAGCCTCACCCAGCTTCTTCTGGGCCTCCTCGAAGTCGAAGTCAACGTACAACGCCTTGACGAAGTCGGTAATGGGGTCGTTGTATTCGTAGCCCTCCTGGCGAACAACGCGGATCAGGTCCTTCAGCTGCTTCTGGTAGACGTTGCTGTTCTTGTGGGCACGGTTGCGGTTGGTGATGACGGCGGCGGCGAGGTAGCGCAGGATCCAGGGGCAGCTGGTCTGGATGGTGTTGATGTAGGCGGGGGAGAAGAAAAGGTCGGTCAGGACATCGCGAGCCGGGTCGTAGTTGAAGAAGGGGAAGAGAGACCAGTGGATCAACCAGGAGCGGTTCTGGAGCTGACCCAGAGGGTTGTTGAAGAGACGGGTCTCGATGGAGTCCTTGACCTTCTGGACCTCCTCCATAGCACCATCCCAGCTGGTGGTCAGAATCTCCGAGGCGAGCTTACCCCATGTGGCGGAGGCAACCTTGTCGTTGTCGGTGGAGAGGACACGGAACTGGTACAGCAGCTCAGCGGCATTGCCGTAGCTACCGCAGCTGTACTGGAAGCGACCATAGTCGAAAAGGCTGTTGACCATATCGGCGGTGACACCGTGCTCCTCCTCGAGGAACTTCAAGTTGGCGACCTTGTCGCTGCGCAGGTTGCCGACGACATCCTCATCCTGCAGCAGCTCGGTGATCTTGGCGCTCTGCTCCTGGTAGTGTTGCAACTTGGCGAGAACCTCCTCTCTCTTCTTGACGAACTCGTCGGGGATGGTGTCGGAGTCGTTAATTTCCTTCCACAGGTTGGCAACATAGTCGGTCATGTTGGTGTGCTTCAACAGCTCGTACTTGGCGCGGATCATCTCCTTGTCATCTTCCTGGGAGCCGGAGCTGAACTCGAGGAGAGGGAAGACCAGATGGCGGTCGAGGTAGGGGATCAACTTGGGCAGCAGGTCATACTGGTTGGCGATCTCTTCAGCGGTCTTGGGCGGGTGGGCGGCAGCACCGCTGAGAAGGGTCTCAGCGGAAGGAGGAACGTTGGCTGCCATGGTGGGAGATATAGCAGCAGAAGCAGCGGGGGAGCGGAATAAATTGGGGGTGGTGGAGGAGGAGGGGGGAGGGGGGGAAAAAGAGGGGAGGGAGAAAAAGGACAAAAACAGAAGAGAGGAAGCGATTCACGAACGGAGAGCCTCTCACAATGAGCAGCGGCAGACTTCAAAGTCAGTGTGCGGCGGCTTTTGCGCTGGCGAAAATGTGGGCGAAGGGCTGCTGGGCGCGCTATCCCCTTCTGGGCCTAGCGGAAGGTCTCCGCGCCGAAGCAAGAAATCATCGCTTCATTTCTGCATGTCGTATGTTCGTTCTCTCGCGCTCTCCGGCCCTCGTCTTGTCCGTCTCCTCCCCTCTCCCTCTTTTAAACTCCCTTCTGGGTTGTTCCTCGATTCCCCGGATCCTAGGAATCGTTCAGGCTGTTTCCGTTGCCTCCCCCTTGACCTCCCCCTTACCAACCCCGATGGCATCCTTCATGCAGTCTCTGCCGGTCTGCTCGGCTTCTCGCAAGCAGTCAACCGCTGTTCCCTTCTATCTGCACAAAGCTTCACAATCCAGAGTCTCGTCAGGGACGCGTAGCTCCTTCTCCTCGCTATGTTCTTCCGCTAGATTGACCCCCTCTCGTATGTCGCGACCCTTTCCGTCCGTTCCACCCACGGCCTATCCCATCGGGATAGTAAGCGTGGCTGTTTCTGGGCAGCAAATGCCTGAAGGGTATCTAAAAGGATCCGTTGAGCTTTTCCTGACTTGCTCTTAGAACTCACTTCTCGTCACTCCTCCCAAATCATCTCTCAGCCCCAGGTTGCCGCCCAGCAATGTCGGACTTTCCTCGTTCAACTCAAGCGGCAATCTCAGACACTCAAGGAAACCCCGGTATCGCAACCGCCGCCCAACCTGCAACTCACGAACCTCCCTTATTTCATCCGTCGCACAGCCTCCAACCAGCTCCCCGTATATCTCGTCACTAAAGCCGGCGGTACCAAGCAACAAACCAAGCTCCAGAAGACTGAAGGCGATTTGGATGCCCTGAGGAACGATCTGGCGCAGTACCTGGGACTGGAGTCGGGTGACCCCCGCGCTCCCAAGAGCCCGGATGTGACTATTAACCGTCTTAACGGTCATATCATTGTCAAGGTATGTCCTATACGATCCTCCAGTTGATCACGACCCAGCTAATCCGGTTGCTTCACTTAGGGCTGGCGCAAACCTGAGATCCTGAAGTTCCTCCAGGAACGCAACTTTTAAGCAAAAACGACAAGAGAAGAAACCGGAGTCATCCCTGGATCCCTTTCGCTCCTTCTTTTACTTTCAATCCTACGTCGGCACCAACCCATTGAACCCAACGACACTGCCACATACACACACTTGTCTATTGTCACGCCTAGCACAGGGAGCGATGGGGATTCAGGGACAGGACGAAACCACACACTGCAGACTTGGTAACAAGAAGAAGACTAAAAAAGGGCCGAACCAGAACGACGGGATGAAAAGAAAATAAGCAGTGCATATCTGCAATGGTCAGGGATGATCGATATACTTTGATTATAATGTCCCCCCAATGACCCCATTTTCTTTTTTTCCAAATTTTCCTCTACTTACTTTATTCCTCACTTTGTATTACTTTTCTCTCTCCTACTAGTGCTGGTGTTCCTAACTCCCTTATTTCTGCGGGGCTTCTGTTTTTCTGGCTGCTGTATGTATGTATGTATACTGGCGTGATCTCTACCTTTTTCTATTTTCGCTTTTCTTTATCTCTCAAGTCTACGGCGAACTGCTGCGGGTTCGGTACATGATAACTATCTATCTATCGGAATGTGGTCTCATCTCCTAGTCTACCCTTCCGCTATCTACTAGCGCGTAGTAGTAGTATCAAGTCGACTTCTTCCATTTTACTCCCGTCCTAGTCTACTGTATCCTAAGTAGAAAATTCAACAGGAACTAGTCTCATCATACCACATGTCATGTAAATCATGCTACACGTCATACGATTACAGAAGACGTTGATACAAGGGTAGCTTACCGCCAACTACCTTAGTAGTCTACGAGCTGTCCCTAATACGGAAAGTCAACGCTCAGACCAAGAGCGTAGTAACAAGCAGAATCGGTCGGTCCATTTCAGTTAATGAACCATGATACAGTAGAGTTACCCATTTAGACATCATGCATGATTTTTTTTTTTTGTCGCCCGAGGGTATTGAACATTGTACAGCGGTAAAGCACAGAGATACACATTGTCACGCCTGTCTCGATAAAAGAAAAATAGTTCTTCCCACCGGCGCCTAACACACGAGATCGAGTAAGAGAGCAAAAAAAGAGGGAGAAAAGAAAAAGAGGGAGAAAACGGAGATGTAGATAGTTGTTTACTCAAGGTTGGAAGTAGAAGACATGACAGAAGCAAACATCAACAAGGCATGTTCTAAGCGTGGCCCAAACATGAAACCTTCGGGTTAACCAGCGCGCTAGAAATGATTTCAGAAAAAAACCCTAACCGTTCCAGAAGTTACCGCATTCATTCCGCTAGTCGTGCATAAGTTATCAATTGCCGTACAACACCAGGATCTATGTTAGGCATCAACAGTGCGCCAAGCAAGCTTTCTTTCCTTGGGATGATCCCCGACGGGAACCGTAACGTGGCGTTGGAATCAGCAAGCTTTGACTTCTCAGCTAGTCGACGCAGAATTGCCAACCCCCGATTGATTATGGAGCTGTAAGCAGCAGCCTCCGCTTCGGCTTGACCCCTTGCGGCATGGGATTGGCGGGAGTTGGTGCTCGGTGGAGGAACTCGTTCTGTGCTCAGGAGGCATGAGAGTCGCAGTAGATGAATGGCAAACCCGTCGGTCGATTCCAGCCATGACTTGGCAATAGGTCCATCCGCAAAGCCTGAAAGGATGTCCGCTGCCAATAGGCCTTGCATGAGGAAAACTTTCCGAGCATCCGCTATAGCCAAGGGTTTCCGCGGTTGATCAGGGACCGGGCAAATGGCAAGACCAAAGGCACGGGTCAGCAACTCTTGCTGGATCGAGGCACCATCGCCAGAAAAGATTGCTCTGAAGAATGTCCGGTTGGGTTCATCCCGTGCCAAAAGCTTGGCCAAGCTATCAACCGCTGCCGGTGTGTACTTATGAATAGAGGGGTTGTATGAGTTGAACATGATGCCCTCCGAGCTCATAGGACCTGGGAATGGTGCAAAAGCAAGAAGGAAATGCAGAAGACAAAGTGCTTCTTCCTTACTCGGTAACTGAATGGTGTGAGCCACGTTGCTGAGGTAAGTGACCGTGTCCTTCATGAAATCCAGAGTGTTTTGATGTGTTCTTAGTAGCATATTGCGTGTGCCGAGGTAACGAATGATAGTCGACATGAATTGAACAACCGGAGGAGTAGACAGCATTCCAAAGTTTGACTCGATAAACGAGAAATTGCGTAGTATGGTTGTAATGCAGATGAGTCGGTCGACGGCACGGTCTAGTTCGTAGTCGAGGCTGCCGAATTCTGGTACATCCGCCAAAGACGTCCACTCCGATTGACATCCACGAGTCACTTCTTCATATGAAGATAGAAGCATCATATCGGACACTTCCGCAGCATGTTCCGCGAGAAACTCTGCCTGGTCCTCGGCGCATTCTATTAAGCTCTCCACCAGATCGTCGCAGTTATCTAACGATATTTGGATCGCCGGCTCTGAAGATATGGATGTAAGCGTATCCAAAGCCATGCGCATTTCAGCATGGATCCCGGATTTTATGCTCATTGTGAGAGCGTGGATATCAATTACACCCAGCTCAGCAAAACTGGGGACATTAGGCTTCAGTCGAGAAATATCCTCCCCGATCTGATACATTTCATCAATGGCTATGGGTCCATGGAAACTGCTTTCTGGCAAGACCATGGGTTTGTAAGGGTCCTCGATTTGATGCTTCAACGGTTGATCCGACTGATCCAGCTGTTCTGAGGGCTTCACTGGGACTGGGACTGGGCCTTTACCCGGCTGCGCAGGCGATTGACTCGGTAATTGGCCAGTAGGATCATTTGGCGTTGCTGGAGGTTGTGACTGGCGGGAAATACTGAGACGGTGCTGGTTCTGCGGTTTGCCCTGAGTTTTGACAGGTGTAGGTGTCGCGAAACCATTCGAAGCATTATGTTGTACGCTACTCGATACAGACGCGGGACTTGGGGATGGGTGTCCCATCTGCTGTGCATTTTCATACCCCTGGCCCGGTTTGATGGCTGGAGACTGGAACTGCATGGCAGACGGATCACTGGGTTGGCGTGGCACCGCGTTTTGCTGCATCTGGTCCGCAAATTGCTTCTGCTGGGTGCTGAGGAAGGCCTGCTCGTACGCAGCTAGGTTCCGCTGATAATGCTCCCTAAGCTCCTGCATGGCCATCGGCAGCTGCATCGGCGGGAACTGAAGTTGCTGTGCGATGACATGCCACATATTCGCAGCCGTTATCTTCTTTGATCCTCCAAGCTTCATGACCGTAGCATAAAGCTGGACCAAATTGATCGGGCGACCGCAAACAACCGGACTAGGATCGAGAGGCAGGTTGCGCGACATCATGAACTTCTGCAGTGACCTCATAAAGCCTTCCGGATTAGGCGGCTTAGCCATAGTCTGTTGCATCTGCCTGATGGCGGCCATTTGTTGAGGATTGGCCATCGCGTTCATCCCAGCTGCCACGGGTCGCCCGGCCATAGCGGGATTCATCGCCATTGGACGACCCTGGTTTTGCATCTGCATGGCATGCATTCGCTGCTGTTGCTGCTGGGCAGCTATGGCCTGCTGATACCCCTGAGGCATACCACCGTAATGTGCTTGCATCGGCGCCTGCACAGCGGCAGTAGTCATTGCAGGCGCAGGCGGGAATTGGGGCGCCATGGCCTGAGGGTACGGTTGATTGGGCATGAACGAGCTGTTTTGCGGCGTGTTCACCCTACTCGGATGATCCGACTGTGACGGAGACATGTGGGAGCCTACTTGAGGGCCGGCTGGGGAGAACGGGCTGGGCGAAGCTGTGCCCATTCGTTGTACACCGTGTTGGTCGAATTCCTGCATGATCGGAGATTGGGTGACGTTCGGAGAAGCTCCTTGCTGGAGGTGCTGATACGGAGTGGGATGCGGAGGATATTGGGGTGCGCCATTCGCAGCTCCTTGGTACCCTGGAAATGGCACCTGGTGAGGAGTCTGAGACCGGGATGCCGCGATAGCCCCGGGAGCCTGTCGAGGCGACATCGACATGGCATCCTCCGGTCGCGGCCTTTTCGACGGAATCACCTGGTTCGGGTTGTGGAAGCCAGGGGAGGCATTTCGCGGCACGCCATTGAACATGCGCTGGAACTGGGTAGGGTCGGGAGTGGGAGAGGTATGGAGGAATGCCGCAGAAGGATCAATGGTCGCCTGGTGAAAAGCACCATTGTCATGGTTCAGAGGGTTCGAGGCGTCGAGAGGCCAGGCATTCATGTCGAGTGGTTTTACCAACCCATCTGTAAGGTAACCAGAGCTGTCAGAAAAATGACACGAGCACCAAGGTCATCATCGATACGCGACCGATAAGGACAGCAGTGTTACAATCATCACGAGCTTATTTTTTAGGGGTGAATGACACAATCGCCCAGGTTTGTAGGGTGGAAGAGGGTCCAGACGCGTCAGGTGAGGAAGCTGACAGTGAAGGGTGTCGCGCTGCCGCTCTGCGACACGAAGCAGCGACCACACACCACACCGAGGACAGCCACCCCAACGTGTAGATGGGGGAGAGATGGGGGGTAAATGGGATAATCTGGGGTGGGTGGATTGATATTTTCTCAAAAAGGAAAATTGTAAGGGACAGGCAGGATGTACATACCGACAAGGCTGGACAACTAAAAATGCCGACTCACAAGCGGATGGAGGCCGGTCCCGAATAGCAGTGGTTGGAAGGCCGGAGAGAGAGATTGCGAGGAGATCGAGCAGGTCACGGGACCCTGGAAGGTCGCTGGTACCGCAAAAAGGGCAGAAAATCAAGTGAGGATTCGCAGCGGCGTTGCGAGCGGCACTGAGTGGCAGAAGGCCGATCAGCAAATCGCAAGGCGACCTGGGAAGTATGGGGGTTTCAAAGTGGATTTGAATAAAATGACAACAACAGGCTGCAGAAATTAAATTGATCAAAAGCAGAATGATGGATCAGCCATAGAAGGGCCTGTAACCCATGGAAGAAAGGGACCACCAGCGATGGCTTTGGGGCAACGTGCGGCGGTACTCCCGAGGAATGGGAGGGTAAAAGGGTGGCCAGCACTTTACTTAGTGCGTGGCCACAGTTGTGTGAGGCGTGTGGAAGGCAAATCCAATGACTGAGAGACAAGCGGGGGGGGGATGGGATCAATAGTGAGGAATGACAGGCGTACCTGGACTTAAAGCTCCGTAAAGATTCGGTACACTGCAGTACCTGGAAATCTGGTATTTTATTTGAACCGATTAATTTTGGATTTCTAGATTCTTTTTTTGCTTCCCAAGGGAAGGGAGGGGCGTCTCCTTCTGGAAAGGTGGAGAGGCACACGGGGTTGGGAAAGGCAGGAATGGGGACGGGCGTGGAGTGATCAGAGGCGCGCCTCACGAGTCGAGAATCAGATTTCAGCCAGACGGGACAAGGGAACAAAAACGATAGGCAAGTGTTCGGATGGGCCTGGCGTAAGGGTTTCCAGTAAGTTTTATCTTACCGGTAGTACGTAGCAGCAGCAGCAGCAGCAGCGAGCAGCAAGCAGCAGGAGCAGGAGCACAGGTCGGTAGCAGTCGGGCAACGGGTAAAAGGGGTGAGCCAATTCAGTAGGCGGACCCTGGTGGCAGTTTAGTTAGGTTAGTCAATAATCACCATGTGGTGTCGCGTATTACGTCATCAGTGGCTGCCTTAACTAAATCCTGCCTGATCCCTGAATTCGACTCGGCGTGGTTCTCGATTGTATACTACTACATACCATTGTCTGTGATGCAGAAACTATACATGCATCATCTGTCAACTATACCTCATTGAAAAAGACGTTAAATTGCCCCAGAATCCGTCTGGCATCGGATACCGTAACCATGGAATCTGTATAGCATGCTGTCTCCTCACCATCCAACTCCCCTAACACGATATAGCATGCGTTGATGCCAATTCAAAACCGTGATTGTAGCTCGGCAGCTCATGCATAGTGGATGAAGCGCTATTGAATCGTATCTTCTCCAGCAAATTCAGTCTCATGGTTCAATTTCGGCGTACCCACCAGTTGGATGTTGTGATCTTCAGCGGCCGAGGCATAAGCTGCCTAATTCGGAAGTATTCCCAACCGCCCAGCTGATTCGCATTGGATAGTAAATGGCCACAGCTCCGGCAAGAAACCCCGGTTTTGACAAAAGCAAACTGCTTTGGACCGTTCAAGAGGCTATATAATGGAGCTACGATCGCTCGTCGGCCTCTTCATCCCGAAAATCACATAACCTGCCGGCATTCTAGTTAGAGCCAGTTAGAGCCATGACGACATCGAAAGAATGGCAGAAGATGCTTAATGGCGAGCTCTACATTCCTTGGGATGCAGACCTTCAGGCCAATCGGCAACGCTGCAAAGAAGCATGCGACAGGTTCAATCATGCTGGGAAAGTCGCTCGGCGTCGCAGGGTGGAGCTATGGCGGGAGTGAGATCTTCCACCGGCTTTGGGGAATGCTCTTCAAACTAATCTCCTGATGTACAGCATCCTAGGTGATACGCGCCCTCTGCCTCCAGTCCACCCCGATCCTCAGGAGGATGAGAAGCTTTTTGACGATACAGATCCCTATGTGGACCCTCCCATCTCGGTGGATCACGGCTTGAACTTCAGGGTCGGCAAAAAAACCTTTCTGAACTACAACCTTCATGTCCTGGATACATGTCTCGTGACAATTGGTGAAAGGGTGCTTACCGGTCCGAATCTTTGTATCTACGGGGCTACCCATCCCCTGGACCCGGCTGTGCGACGGGGTATAGAGGGTCCAGAAGCCGGCAAGGAAGTGCATATCGAAGACGATGTCTGGATAGGAGGCAGTGTAATCATCTTAGCCGGGGTTACTATCGGACGAGGAAGTACGGTGGGAGCTGGTTCTGTGGTGACAAGGGTATGTTATACAATCTGCTGGCTGTTATGTCTCTAAACGCATCGGTTAACCTAACTGCAGAGCGTTCCTCCCTTCCATTTTGTTGCCGGAAACCCAGCCCGCATCATTCGCCGGATCGAAACGAGTATGGATCCCGATCAGCGCAAAGAAAGTCAACCCGAGTGATGCAATAGCCTTTACAATATGTCATTATTTGCGATCTACTTCTAAATAGACAATCGATAACCCACCGGCGATTTGCAGGTCCTGCCAATAAGAGGCATGCTTATCGGTGGTAGTCGATGTACGTATATCTTCATATGATTAGGTAGTCATGCTGTCGTGCCAGTCCGGGGGAGTGTGTCTAGATTGAGTGGTAAGCCCTGGAATTCCCTGAACATCAAGGCATTACTTACAAATGCTGTCCATGAGATATTTGTATGATCATCTTCGGCCTGAGCCGCACGAGCGTCCCAGACCTTTCTTAATAAATCAGCAGGGACCGGATTGCGAAATTCCGATCTCCGCTCAACTTCGCGCAGTCTCGTAAGGACATAATACTGCGAATGACGCGAGATACAGTCGGATCCTGCCATAAAGAGTGGGAAGACAAGGATTTCCAGTAACGAGCTTTCCGGGGTAATGATCGCCGTCGCGTCGAGAATCTTTCGAACACAATCTTGTATATCAGAGCTGCTAGCTGGCTTCAACGGGTCTAGCAGCCGAAGAATACGCAAGATAGATGCAAACTGGAAAGCCTCCGCTATGGATAGCCAAAGAGGATCATGACTAGGGTACTCTCTTCCTTTTGGATCCCATGCATAGAGCTTGTGCTTTGCTAGGAGCAGGGCGATTTGATACTCATCCCAAGTAAGCCAGCCTAGTGTATGTTCTTTTGCCTTTTCCAGTGCTGCGCCGATAACCAGAAAGACTTCTCTCGGGCACCCGTTTACCAATTCGAATTTTCTATCGCTGGCACAAGCAACTAGTTCACGAATATCCTGAGAAAAGCACATTCTCTCGGGGCCAGCAGATGCTCGAATTATGTCAAGCCTGGGTTTTCACTAGTGAGCCTTGTATCGGAAGCATCAGGCCTGAGTCAACATACCAAGCCAGGTTACCGAGGAAGAACATGGCCCGCTGGCGTCGGCCATGTAGCCCCTCGGCGATCAACAGCTGTTTACAGACGGACATGGCACCGGTAATGTGAATGCCATGACTCGATACCCCTGATTCAGAAATCTATTTTCTGTTAGTTTAGATGCTTGATCAATGAATTGTGGCAAAAATAGGGCACATGAAGCCTACATCATGAAGCAACAGGACCTGTATTATCGCTAAGACGGTATCTTGTTCGTCTTCGAGCAACGATGTCCTTTGGCTCTTACGGATTTCTTCACTCAAGGCACGTATGGCTTTCATACGGTATTCAACAGCCGTGGCTTCGTGTAAGAACTCATCGCCAATTACCCGCCCAAGGTGGGAAGCAGATAACCCAAGAACAGCATACAATAGCCCGATCTTTTTGCGCGCCAGCGGGAGAATGTATGCTCGGTAAGGGTTCTCTGCGTCATCACCAACCTCAGCTATCTGATGTGGGCAAATAATCTCATCATCTGCAGCATATCTTTAGTGCCTTGCTATCAATGATTTGAGGGGTGAAGCCTACAATGGCTTAACAGCCTAGCTGTGTCGGGCGAATCAAGAAGCGTGGTTACATTGTCTGGAAGCTTTGGCAGCGGCCGACTGTGAACTTCAGCTGGCTTTACAGGAACAGGAACTTCCTTGGCTGTTGTCTTTGGGCTACCACTTAAATTGGCTGCAGAGGCTTGATCACTTTCCAAGTTGGGGTGAGGAGTCTCAGTAACTTCCTGGCTCGGTGGCACTTGGGTATCCAAGGCAGCATCGCTTATTTCTGATCGAACTCCGGTAGAGATTCTACTGTTGGTAGGTATCCGAGCACCCTTCCATTTACCTCGACTAGCGATCCCGCAGAATCTGAACCGTTCTGGGTATCCTCCACATACTAAACCTTTCGAGACACATCGTTGACAACTCGGACGGCCACGGTCACACTTGCGGCACTTTTGCCGGCAGGTCAAGCAAGCGGCACCTGTACAAGTGAATAAGTATCAAGTCATCACATACATTATGGGTCGTTACAGTCCTACCAGCTCGTGGCATTCCGCCGTCAACCTGCGGGCTTACTTTCGCATGGGAGGTAATGTGGAATTCCAAAAAAGGCGATGGTATCAGATGCAAGGACTGCACCGTACTTCCAGGACCTCACGGCGTAAATCCCGGTGACCGCTGTTGCTAACGGCTGAATAGGCTCACACCGTGTTCTGTTACTATCCGACCCCAGAAAATGAGGCTTCATCTCCAGCCTGCTGGTTATTTTACCCGATTAGGCTTCCGAATCAAGATTATGTAATGAAACTGTGTCATGTGACTATGTTGATGAACCATGCACCATTCCCACTTTAGACATTCACTCAGCCCAACTGAGTCTGGAATCTTCGGGTATAGTTGGTAAAATGGGGCCTTTTCTTTCCTCCGCAGATGCTTGAGTCACTCCAGTATAATCCCCAATATTTCATCCTATATGGCACAGGCACGCTGCCTTCTAGTTGTTACTCTATGCAGGTTCCTTGTTTTTCCGTAGCAACTATTGGATTTAGCCGTTCGCCAAATTGGCGTTATTCAGTGCTCTTACATAGATGATAGCAATTGTCGCCAGTCTAATAGCTAAGTGGTTAATGGGCTTAACGTAGGAGCCTGATGTAGGGTACGGGTTTGAATACGTTGGCCCATTGTTGGAAAGAGCAGCGAAATGAAAAAAAGTGTTTATAGTAGTAGGGATTTTATGAATTACTAGTATCTCCCAATGGCAATGTCCGCGGGAAGTATATAATTTGGCGGCTAACATATCTGAACTACGAATCTGCGACGCCACCACAGCGCATATACAAAAGGGGTATTCTTTTTTACTTATATGTTTGAAGAAGCCTATAAACCCATAATGTACACATATAAGCGCACCAAGATGAGTCGTGAGTGCCAAATTATTAGCTATCGTCCATACTGAGCGAACGGCTCTGTGCCGCGACATTATATCAGCTGGACCGCTGAGCTACCAAGTCACATGACCACTGCCCGTGAGCTTCGTGAGCCGGGCTGTCTGGCATCGACGCAATAGATCCAACCAGCCAAATCCTTCCCAGCTTGCCCACGACTGATCCATCCATTTCTTTCTGGGACATATTCTCTCTAGCTTAAAGTTAACTGCGCTTGCTATTTTCACACCCGCTCCGTTTGTACCAAATTTCCGCCATGGGAGACGTCGCCGTCGAGACCCCGGCGAACAACGTCACGCCTCTCACCAAGGCAGCTCCATTGGACACGATCCCCAACATAGACTCGCTCGAGGGCACAGGAAACGATGGGAGCGATGAATATGCCACATTGAAGAGATTGCAGAGACATCTAGAGTATGTTCCAACGGTGATGATGGCTGCCGCAGCACATGTTGACTCTTCGGTAACAGGTACATTCAACTCCAGGAGGAGTACATCAAGGATGAGCAAAGGCAAGCTATATACCATCTTACTTCGAGCTTGTTATACCCGAGCTAACAGCTGCTACTCGTACAGGAGCTTGAAGAGAGAACTCGTTCGTGCGCAGGAGGAGATCAAGCGGATACAGAGTGTGCCTTTGGTTATCGGCCAGTTTATGGAGGCGATCGATCAGAAGTATGGTGCTGCGCAGAGCTTTCAACATGGAACCAATAACTGATTATCCTAGTACCGGTATTGTGCAATCGTCGACCGGTTCGAATTATGTCGTTCGTATCCTCTCCACGCTCGACCGCGAGAAGCTCAAGCCTTCGTCTTCGGTCGCACTCCACCGTCACTCCAACGCCCTTGTCGATATCCTACCCCCGGAGGCTGACTCCTCCATTGCTATGCTGGGCGAGAACGAGAAGCCCGATGTGACTTATGCGGATGTTGGTGGTCTTGACATGCAGAAGCAGGAGATCAGGGAAGCAGTCGAGCTGCCCTTGACGCACTTTGACCTTTACAAGCAGATCGGTGAGTTTAGCTCCTCCTCATTACTGCCATCTCTGGTAGGGGCGGTTATTGATGCTGGCGATAGGTATCGATCCTCCTCGCGGTGTTCTCCTCTACGGCCCTCCCGGTACGGGTAAGACTATGCTGGTCAAGGCGGTGGCGAACAGCACGACCGCCAGCTTCATCCGTGTAAACGGCTCGGAATTTGTTCAGAAATACCTGGGTGAAGGACCTCGCATGGTTCGAGATGTTTTCAGAATGGCGCGGGAGAACTCCCCGGCTATCATCTTCATTGATGAAATTGATGCCATCGCCACGAAGCGTTTCGACGCCCAGACGGGTGCAGACCGTGAGGTGCAGCGTATCCTGCTGGAGCTTCTCAACCAGATGGATGGATTTGAGCAGTCGAGCAACGTCAAGGTCATCATGGCCACCAACAGAGCTGATACTCTGGATCCGGCCCTGCTACGTCCGGGTCGTCTGGACCGGAAGATCGAGTTCCCGTCTCTGCGGGACCGGCGTGAGCGCCGGTTGATTTTCTCTACGATAGCATCCAAAATGTCTCTTTCGCCGGAAGTTGACCTGGACTCGCTGATTGTGCGCAACGAGCCCCTCTCTGGTGCGGTCATTGCCGCCATCATGCAAGAGGCCGGTCTCCGTGCTGTCCGAAAGAACCGCTACAACATCATCCAGTCGGATCTCGAGGATGCTTACGCCGCCCAGGTGAAGACCGGACAGGAAGCGGATAGGTATGCAGCATTGTCTATGCTACCCGCGATCGGGACATGGCTAACCAAGCATACAGACTCGAATTCTACCGGTAAATCAAGTATGGGACGTGCATTAGGCTGGATATCGGATTACGCAAGGCGAACAGGGGGACCGTTAGCTGTATTATCAACATCTAGGCTATTTCATATTAGGACAACGACTGACGCATTGGGTATTCCGCTGGGGTAGTCTATCGGTTGGGACCAAGTACCTTGTAGATAGTAGAACTGTAACCCACGTTGATACCGCCACTTGGCTGGGGCGGTGATTCAGCAGATGCGGGCTCCAGTTGGACGGCTACGCGAGCCTCTTAGGATCTACAGGAGTACGTGTCTGGCTCTGTGC